TCCCCCTTCATGATCCATTGTGATAAAAATCTGTGAGACCCACCAAAAAAAAAAAAAAAAAGCTCGAGCATTTCTTTTTGAGAGAGCATAGATGACGTGGCATTCCAAGAGCATACAATAATTTTTCCTTCGGGTTATTGATCAATCATCCCCACCGGCCATTCCTAGATATAACTAGGAACAGGCAATTACCCGGGATTTGAGTTAGTAAAAAAGTTTGTTTTAGTTTTAAATGTAAGATTTTAATTCATTTTATTTCACAAATCTATACCACTCCAGTAATTTTTATAAGTTACTTTTAACTCACTCATTCTCATATATCAAAGAATATATTAAATTGATAAAATTTTTCAAATTTAGTCTTATTAAAGTTTTTTCTTTCCCTGCATTGACAAAGCATCCTCACCTTTCTCTCTACTTTCTTACTTTTTCTAATGAGAATTAAATAAAGATGAGATTGAAAAAAAATCATTAAATACCCTACAAGTACCAGTAACTTGTAATAAAAATTTCTAATGAGAATTAAATAAAGATGAGATTGAAAAAAAAATCATTAAATACCCTACAAGTACTAGTAACTTGTAATAAAAACTAGAGTGGTAATTCTTTTCTTAAACAATCTTATTGATTGCATATATTAGTGAGGATAGTTATGTTTGTCATATAGAGGATTAAAAGCTATTTAAAGAAACCAAGACATATTTATTATAAACATAACCAAATTAATTTTTATAAACTAATTATTCTAGACCCTACATTCAGGATCAGAAGGAGTGTATACCATTGGCCAAGGATCCTTAGGCCTAATGACATGATGCTCATTCTTAGTGGTATTAGCTTGTGAGTTAAATTGATGTTACGTAATTTCTATGTTAAACATGATTTTTTAGTCTAATTAGTTTTTTTTTTGTCCTGAAGCTTCCCAATTCTATCACAAAGATGCACTAAATTAACTTAGTCATGTGCATATATATTTTTTTTAAAAATTTTAGAGATAGAAACTAGAAGGTAATGAAAGTAGATTGTTATATCAGATGCTCACAATCACAAACAAGGCTTGATCGTCATGTTACTCTAATAAATTGGAACAAGATATTAATTTCAGTTTGGCACAACAAATGCTTGAGCAGTGAAGTGAAAGGTAATGAACTAATTTCTTGTTCCACTCAGCTCCAAGACACCAGAGTTCATATTTCGACTAAAGATAATTTATTTGTGGATATATAAGACATTAATGATGGATCATGATATCCAGCAAAAAAAAACAGAGAAGAAAAAAAATAAAAGCAACAAAAAGAAAAACGGACAACGATTGATCAAGCCCAGGCCATTTTTTTCCCAATAAATCACAAGTGGAAGGATAGACTGTTTGAGACACTATTAGATTCTAAATGTATACACTTCTCACATGAGGTCTTTGGGAGGAAAGTAAATTTGGATTGCAAAATCAGGGTTTGGGGACTCTACCATCTAAACATGTCAATTTTTTTGCAAAATCACTTTTTGATTGAAAACCATAGTTTGGGGGGAAAAAAAAACCAAATGCCATAATAATTTTTTGCAAAATCACTTTTGAATTGAAAACCATGGTTTGGGTTTTCCACAAGTGACTTTTTTGTTTTTGTTTTTTAAAGGTATAAAACCATGATTTGGGATATAAAAATTATTTAAATCTTATATTTTTTTAAAATATATATATATATATATATATGCACATATCAATCATTTCCTCTTATCCTTAATATAAGATAAGAACTAGATATCTAAATGGTCAATATTAAAAAAATTAGTTAAATTAGTTATTTTTAATAAATAGGTATTGTATTTATTAAAATACTTGTTAATTATGTGCATTGAGACTACTATTTAATGAAATCTTTAACATGTGTAGGTTAATATGAACACTATTTTGAAAAAAATAAATAAATATTGTAAGATAAAGTAGATTGGAGTCTTATTTAGAATCAAATTGAATATCCAATTAGTTCTTATATTAAAGACATAAGGTAATATTAATTAATTATATTTTTTCATATATCATTGTTGATTATTTAAAAATTTATTATTTCAAACAAAATTATAAATTAAAATCTATTTTTTATGTAATTATCATATTAACTTTTTTTTGGCATGTGGAAAAAAGTGATTCTAATAACAACTATTTAAATATTCTCAATTTATCAAAATCATTTTTTTTCACAAAATCTATTCTCAAAATAATTTTTTTTACTTTATCCATTTTTTTTCAAAAGCTATGTTTTAAATTATGATTTGTTTTTATCCAAATACCCTTCAACACAGATTCGTGAAACAAGTGGGCATTTTTCGTAATAAAAAATGACAAAACCAATTGATTGCTTTAGGATTTTTCTCTTCACCATCAGCTTTTTGTTAATAACAGTAACACGGAAAATATAAATACAACTACAATGGCATACGATTAATTATGAAAACAATGTGCTGGTCCAAAAAAAATTATGAAAACAATGTTTTAATATTTTATTTGAATTAGACATGTTTAAATATAATATGCTACATCTAGTCCTTAATATAAGAATTAGTTAACACTTTAATTTGAATATATTAAGGAAATCAATTTAGTTATTTGTAGTAAATAGATGTTGTCTTCTCTAAAATACCTTTACTAATTATGTGTCATAGCTAGAACTATCATTTGATAAATCTTTTAACATGTGCAGCTATTATAAGGACTATTTTTAAAAAAAATGAATAAATATAAGAAATAAAATAGATTGAGGTTTTATATTTAGAACCAATATATTTGGTTAAAGAAGATTTTGATCAGGTAGATCCTGGAACCTTGATAAGGGCCTGGAAATTTTCATAATTCAAAAAACACTAACAAAAAAACTACCTCCGTCTCTAAATATGGGAATTAAATAAAAATTTAATGAAGTTCTAAATATAAGATCTCAATCCATTTTGTCTTCCATATTTATTTATTTTTTATCAAAGTACTAATAGTCCTTATGGTGATTACACATACTAAATGATTTTCATTCTAATACACATAATTAATAAGAATATTTTTTATAAAAAAAACAACACCTATTCATTATTAATTATGAAAAATTGATTTTGTGTACCACTGAGCATTTGGATCAACTGGTAAGGGATTGTTTCGGCTTAACCAAAGGTCATGGGTTCAATCCTTTAGGTAGTAGCTGCCCATGGATTAATCTGGTTTGTAATTGTAATTTTCTAAGAGGTTGGCTAGAACACGGGGTGAAGTAATTCAAAAAAAAAAAGATTTTGTGTTACATAAAATACATATGTGAAAGAAATTGATCGATTATGAAGTATTTTTTAATCTGCTACATGAAATAACTATATTAAAAAAAAGAGTTTTTGTTTCGTAAAATGTAAATATGCTTGTTGAAACTGTTACGAACAGCTTCTAAACCACAAAGGAATTTCAATGGCTTTTTTCCATGCTTTTAGTATGGGTTAAGTTCTCGCTAACCAAAAACCCTACGGAGCTAGTTTTTTGCCATTTATTATTATTTCCTATTTTCCATTCATTACTCTTCTCAACCAGTAGATCAAATTTTAACAAGTTCAGATTCAATATGTTACAAAATTATTATTGAAATATAGAATATAAAGAGTAAATAAATAAATTTAAACTGCTAAAAAATTATTGCCAAATTTGATTTAATGGTTGAGATGAATAGTGAAAAAAAATGGAGGAAAAAGAAAATTAAGAGAAGCCAACTCTGAACTGCTAGCGAACCTTTAAGATTTTATTTTTCATTAAAGGAGTAAGTGCTAACCACCTGAGATTACATGGGAGACTGAATTCATAACCTCCTATTTATAAAAGAGCTTTCATATTATTAAGATATAATATTATTAGTGTAAATGTATTTGGATTTTCTCTCTCAGTTGCAAATTGAATGAGGGGTGAACCAATGTTCAAATTCTCATAAAAAGAAGTGTCTTCGTTTAGTACTTGATAGTATCTCGAATATGATTATCTATCTATGCACAGCTAAGGAAAAAAAAAATTGAATGAGGTAGGCCTTGCATACATGGGTCTTGTTCATTAAGCCATGCTTCTTCAAGGCAGCCCAACAAAAGGTTCCATCTGCACATAAATATTATTGCGCTTGGTTTAAAAACAAGACCTTATTGAAGATGCCATCTACAAATAATCAATGTGGGACCCTCATTTAAACCAAAAAAACAAAAATTATCATCATTTTTGTCATTGACAATATCAACTGTATTTTTTAATTTAAATATCAATAGTATTAATATCAGTATTATCAATATAAATATAATATACATGAAATGTTATATTGGTTGAAAATTATGAATGTTATGACTTGTTTTTCAAACTTTATGTGAGGCCTCACCTATTTAAATTATAAAAAGTTGCACCGTCGTTGTTCTTTAACACAAGGAAGTTCATCTTTAACAGCAAAAGGCTCAACTGTTTGTGTATAAAGGTGGTTAAGAAAGAATGCTAATAACATAATATAAGAGTAGGGAATAACGAATATCAAGGGCTTTACTAATTAAGAAAAATCAGGGAAAGTGCCAATCCCAAATGAGAATATGAGTTGCAAATAATATGATAATTAAATGTCTTATAATGCGAAACAAAAACTACCATAGTTACCGACTCTTTTTCTAGCAACATTTTTTTAGACTTAAGTGTCATTAAATTGATCTTTTTGAAACCTAAGTTTTATTGCTCAAAAAGAATCGGACGTCATAATTGGGGGGGGGGGGGGAACAAGGCTAAGTGACTAAATATGATAACCATAAAATGAGTTTAACAAAGTTGTGACAACATATAGCAAGTTTCTTCTTAATAAAGCTACTTAAGATAAATTGGTTGCAAATTCAGAAAGCAAAAGAATACACAAGAAACTTCAATAATTTCCATGAATTAAGTAACAGGAATTTGATTATAAGTTAGCAACTTCATGAATTGTACTCAGCTAAACATAAAACAATGCTAAACAGTAAAGTCAAAATTCCAATTTATTTTGACAGGTAGTGTCAATAGTGTTGGTCTTGACGAACACAGAGACATAACAGGTGCTCAAACTTGTGGCTTTCTTCTTGATGATCTTCAAGATCTTAACTTTACCTTGTAAAGTGCTTGCTGATGTAAAATTCAAAACCCCTTTATTAAAATAATCATCACGAAAATTCCCATTCTTCAACACTTCATCTGCCTGAACTGCCAAACTCGTGCTCACATTTAGCTCTCCATGATCTGGAACTGTGTCACCATTGATCGGAGCTTCACCCACCAAACTTCCTCTATAGCTAACAGTAGCTGTGCTGTCCTGGTAAGTAAAACTTCCATGGTTTCGATTCTTCACTGTGGCCACTACGCCTAATGTCACATTCAGTTCTAATTTTGAATCAGGGGACGCTACAAAAACGAACCCTTCAAGCTTCACTGGTTGTATGATGATAATAGGTTCTTTAGGCTTGAAGACTGTGAGGAACAAGACGACCAAAACCACCACAAGAAGAATAACAACAATGGCTGTCACCCCACAACATATTTTTTGGCGTCTGGAACACCGTATTACACAAGCCATTGTGATTTTCAGAAATGGGTTATGGAAAATTCAAGGGAAGTATGGAATTATATATGGGTGGTGGGGGTGGTGATGATGATGCAGAATTTTGGAGGATCCTATGAATATTTTGGAGAAACTGTAGTTGTTATTGTAGTTGCAGACACTGGTAAAAGATTTGGATTTTCTATGACATTGAGAGGTTTAGTTATTTAGATTATAATGAGAAATTTGTTTGTGATATTTAATTTGCAAATGGAGATGAAAACTATGAATGAACAAGACGGCTGCAGGCATTGAGATTTGTCCTCTTCTTGTTTTTGCAGCTACTTGGGTGGGCTCTGTTCCTCTACGATGAAGAAGCCCTACGATTTTCCCCTCTTCTGAGCAAATTTATCACACAAAGTGGATGGTTTTCTGTATTGTGTAGAATTTGATGAATGAATTGCACTATTTGTACTGGACCACTAATAATGCATTGTTCTTAGCTCTGACCTAATTTAACCTTCAATCTAGTCTTATAAATATCTTATCTAATGACTTTTTAGGTTTTTCTTTTCCTTTTAAATAGGAATAGTGTTAAATTATTTTCTAAAATTTTAATTGAGATGAACAAATTGTTCTATATATCATATTATAACATACATAAGGTCATACTCCCTTCATTCCTAATTATAGTATTTTAGAAAGTGCAGTGTTGCTATATATAATACAGTAGTTTACAAGCTTTTAGAAGTAATTTATAATTTTTTTTTACGAAGTACCCCTAATCAATGGATAAAGAGACTTGGCCTATCTTGGAATAAAGTTGAGACAATCATAAATGTTAATCCAAGGAAAAATGGAAGATGGGGAAAAAAAATTCTCAAGGCATAAATTAGTTAAAATTATTTTATTGGTAAGTGTAATTTAGGTAATTTTATCTTATAAAAAGGCACACAGGAAGTATTAGCTATGCTTATATTCCTAATTTATATTGTCAACCGGGTAGGTTGAAAAGACTAAACCATGACAAACCAAATAAACTAAAGAGGAACATTTCTAAATCTCATCTATTTTAGGTGAAGGTTGAATAGGTGGAACGGTTCAGGTAAAATAATTTCTATGTTCTGTAGCAAAAAAAAAATTTCCTATGTTATCTGTTAATTTATTATATATTAATTAAGATTCCATATTTGGCATGAAAGTTTTAAAAACTGAGAGTAGGGAAAATTGGATTGGAAGCAGAACTGCCACTCAATAGCATATTAATGGGCAGAAATAGTACAATTTTCCTGCAAATTATATGTTCCGTTCAGATTAATAAATTGTGCAAGGAAAGAATGCTCTCATTATAACTTGTTTCATATAAATAGACCCAGAGTTAGTAATTAATTTAAGCTACAGTTTGTAGGAATTCATTCCAAATTAATACACATCACACATACAACAAATGTTCACATATAAATACCATAGAAACTTGATTCACAAATTTCATCCTACAAAGAAAACACCATGGATCAGAGAACTAGCTGGGTGCGGATTGCAGCTTTGCAGGTGTCAATACATCAGAAGGAAGATATTTAGCTTTCCAAGTGGATCCCATTCGAATGTCATAACTCATAAGTACAAGGAAACTGATTGTTACATGAGCATCTCTCAGTTCTTACTTCTGTCCTTTAATCTGCAAAAACTTACCATCAATACAGTACAAGAATAAACTCTCACATTCCAGTTACCCTAGATCAACAAAGCAGTCTTCTTTACCATTCTTTTTGGTTTTCCCTCTTTCAATTGACAAGGATTTACAGAAGTTCATGGAAGAATTATTTCGCAGCCCCATGATTTGTCACTTGCATGAACAAGGACCAGGATTTTGCCGTTCACGTGATGAATCTCCATCCCGGCTAGACTTGTACAACCGGTGGTGGTGCTTCCATCTCGTTGTATGTATTTGTTGTCGGCTTTGCAGTTCTTAAATGCTTTGAGGAGGAGGAAGATGAAGTTAGAGAAGACTTAGCAGAACCCAACTTGGCCTTTTTCCGCTTGTGCTTTTTAGGAACACGAGGATGTTCATGAGATTGACTGTCCTTGAAATTGCTTGATGATGATTGGCTTGAATCTGCAATATCTGCTTCAAGGGATCATGTAATGAATGGTACATCATTTAGCGATCAAGAAGATATTAGTGAGATAAAGCAGCTCAAAAGAAAAAATGTGAAGTATATTATCTGAGATGCTAACAGACAATGCAATGGAATGAGATTGAAAAACAGAAAATTGCTTCCCAATCATTCTTCTCACCGTGGATCTGTAGAGAAATACAACCATGGGAATGAAATAAATCCTTCTGCTCAAATTCATGACAATCATAATAGAGGGATCCGTGCAGGGTAAGTCACAGTGAACAGTTATCAGGTGCCGTGGGGCGAGTCACCTTAAAGAAATGATTTTAAACAGTTGTATAGGATGGAATTCTTCTGTTCTAATTCATATGTAAGAAGGATCAACAGGGAACAGGATACTCTACTCTTAAAGAGAGGCAGAGTAGGTCATGCCTTGTTTTTTTTTTTTTTTAAATAATTTTCTACTTTTTTTTTTTTAAAATCAGAAACGCTGAATCGTGTGAAAAAGCACAACTTTACATGCTTAGGCATTTTGAAACTTAACTTCCCAAAGCATCCATACTTAACTGTGGCTCTTGAAACATTTGGTTCCAGTAAATCCAGATCGTTTAAATGTAGCAGATACAGAATAATCTGATTCTTCACCAACCAAAGGCAGTGATTTGCAGCCTTTTACATGGTTAGATGAGGACGATAACAACTCATGTACTAGACAGCCACAAATTAGCTGTTGACGCATGATTTCAGACAACTTTGGAAGACAGACAGATTTCAGATACGATGTCGATTGTCCTGCTAACATCTTTCACACAGATGATGACTCAGAAGAATCAAATCTTACAAGAATTAGGTGATACTTTTGTTTTTATAGGTCTTTATTGGTCATCTTTGAGGAAGCTCATCACATGGAAAAGCATAGAGTCGAGGTAAGGTTTGACATATCACATAAACCAAAATAAGATTTTTGACGTGGACCCCACTAGATACCATTTTTATCAGTCAAGTCAAGTCAAGGGGGGCAGTAGATTCCCCTCATTGGGAAATTATTTGTCACGTGAAAGAACAGCCAAGTTCACTTCTTACTATGGAGAAAAAGAATCAGATATTTATCAATTATATTTCCCCCTTCTACTATATGACCTGTGATACGCCCTTTCTTTGTACTATTCAGATTTGGGAGACTGCACTGTATCACATGAACAAAGGTCATTATTATTCAATGGCACCAGCACCACACTTTTCAAACGTTTGCCTTGTTGTTGCGAGAATTCTTAATTCATAAGTTGTAGAGAGGGATTTATGTCACCACAAACAGAGACTAAAGCAAGTGTTGGGTTCAAAGCTGGTGTTAAAGATTATAAATTAATTACTTAATCTTGGTGTGATCACATGCCCTGCACAATATTTGTTCTCACTTTGCACTCTATGATCTATCTCTGCTTTATTTATATGACAAATATTTGGCCACTTTGCAAGGGTTTCACGGGACAGAGGAACCATAGGGATTAAACTGAAAATTGTACCAAACTTGGAGGCTACAATACTCATGCAAAATTAACTTTTCTGAATTTTTTTTTTTATTTCGTTTCATTCTATGTACTAAATGGATCAAAACAAAAGTTTTTGGAAAGCAAAAACATTTGGTCAACAAGAAGTTATTATAGGATACCTCGAGGAGGCATGATGCTGGTAGATAAAGGATTGGGATCTCTTCGATCATCCAAATTACCGAGCGATGTTGAGAAATCAGGAGCTGTTTTAAACTCAGACATCTGCATTAAAAAAAACCGACAAAGGGAAAGACAAAATGATGAAACATTGTAATACTAGGGAAAAATGATTTCAAACGAAGAAATTCAAAAAAGTGCACAGAAGAAAGAAATCATATTCCTAATAGCTCCTCCTTACCCAAGTGGGTCCACTCCCTGAGGGGCCATCCCATCCGATGTGAGCCACATGCTTAACGTCTGTGGGGTGACCAATTTCAATTTCGCGCTCCTTCACAACTACAACATCAAGAACAATATTCCACAGCTCAATCAAGTTCAAGACTGAAAGAGAAAGGAGTTTTGGAATTTGAAATCCTCTCTATTTATTAAAAAAGTTATTGGTTTTGCTGATTTCAGAAACAGAAAAACACAATGTATGTATGATACATCATTCAGATGGGATTGAATCTCAGACATCTTTCTCAATTTTGAGGTGGACAATCTCAAGTTTTCTTAAGAAATTCAAACAGTAACCAAGACTTTTATAAAGTTTAGAGAGATTACCAAAGATTTTGGTAATGTATTTGAGACTTTTATAGATCCCTTTCATCTTGATTGACATGGTGGAAATAGCAAGCTCTGAAATGGGAAGAAGCAGAAGAAAGCAAAAGTTTCTCAACAGATAATGCTTTTGCCTGCAAGGAAGACAGACACATTTTCGGCTAAGAATTCATTGTCTGTGATTCAGGAACATCTACTCCCTTTCAATGACTAATTGCTGCGGAATCATTGCGCAGGAAACGTTTCAGTTTCAAACGACAATATTCTGAAAATGTAGGTAAGAGATTTTGGGGCAATAACATACCAATGCAGGAAGAGGATAATAACAATGTTGCGAGAAAAAGCTTAAAGAGGAAGGGACTTCTCCAGAGACCATTGTTTCTGGGCTCCATTCATCATCATTCTGAAACAAACTTGTAAGGCAAATGCTGGCACATGCAAAGCCTGAGTCTTATGCTGAACTCGTGGCAGAAAAATCCAACCGAAACTATGAAGAGGAAGGCGAGTATATCAGAATAAAGGAAGAACGAAGGCAGGAACGAATCGGTTTTATGAAAAGATGAGATTTTTATTAATGAAGCAGGAAGGAAAGGAGAGAGGGTTTGAAAGAAAAGAGAAACAGAAGGTGGGTATCCATGAAACTTGAAAAAAGAAGCAGAGAGAATCGGGAGGGAGGGATGAATAAATATCAATGGCTTAAAAGAAGAGAGTTAGTTTTACGAAGAGGTGCCTCTAATGTCATGTTGGGTTGTTGGGGCGAGTAAAGTTCGCATGTCATAGGCTTATTAGGCTGTTTCTCTCATATAATGGCCATCTAAGGAAATGGTGCAGACCTCTGGAATAGCGGACAGAGTCAATAAATTCAGAGACACATAGGCTGTATTTTGGGTTGTGTTCGGAGTTTAATAATTCTCAACAGCTTTATGTTATCTTTTAATATTGTTCTCTGTTCCCGTTTTCGCTAAGTTTCAATTTCTATTTAAATTAAAAAAATTAATTAAATTAATTATTTTTTATAAAATAATAAAATTATCTTTACCAAACTATAGTAGTAATAGAAATTTGGTTAATCAGTTAAGAACATTAGGAGAAAAAATTAATACTTTAAACAAAATATATTACTATGTTATAAAATACTACCTCCGGTCTTTAATATAAGACCTAGTTAATTAATTTGAGTAGATTAAAAAAATTAATTAAGTTAGTTGTTTTGTGATAAACAAGTATTGTCTCCCCTAAAATATCCTTGTTAATCATGTGTATTAGTTAAATATACCATATGATGAAATTTTTAACATGTGTACTATTACAATGACTACTTTAAAAAAATAAATAAATATAAGAGACAAAGTAAATTGAAATTTTATATTTAGGACTAAATTGAAAGTCAAACTAGTTCTTATATTAAGAACTGGAGATAGTATGTAAGAGGTAACTCAAATTAATATTTTGTATGTTGCCTAAGTCACGTCAAATATATTTTGGAATAGTAAAAAAATAATGTTTTATTTTATTTTTGTGACATATACATTCACAACTTCATAGCTTGTTAACACGATGATGAAAATAATTTAGTAATTTTTTAACAGAATTCAAAAAAATAAATTTATATTCTTCATAGCTTGTACATAGTGTATCCTATTATGAATTCTTTCCCTGTATAAATATTAATGTTAATAGGATGAAATATTTTTAAATAACAAAACTAGTACTTATAGTTTTTTAAAAAAAACCTTGAGAGAAAAATATTTTAAAAAAATTATTATAACCTCATAAATACAACCAAAAAAAAAACACATTCATTAGTTAAATATGTTCTTTGATGATTGATTTCATTGAACAAAAATTTCAGAGAAAAATTATACTCGTATTTATATTCAGTTATAAAAGAATATAGACTTTTTAGGAAGGGCAAAGCATTATATTTATTTTTTGCCGTTCAGACAATTCAACAACAATATTTGATTGGATTCATATTCATGGTTATTTGTTTCAGCATCAACCCTACATTAATGTCATCCTTGGATGCTATCACTGTTTCCTTGTCTAGGTTGCCACTATCTCCCCCACGCTTAAAAAAGCACAAAAATATTTTAGAATATTATTCAATATATTAGAAATAAAATTTATTCCTCAAACTCTATGCAATAAACGAATTTATATGGAGTTATAAACTTTTTTAATCCATAATATGAGTCATGTTTCAAAAACGGATGCTAATTTAAAATATAAGTAATGTTTAGTTGTTGTTTCACGCATTAATCATGTTTTCCTTATGTAAACATAGGGAAAAAATTATTAATCTAGAAGGTATGTTATGTTACTCTTGCTATTGTTACATTACCTTTTTTTCCCCATAATTTTAAGGATATGTGACTTTTGCTGCTGCAATTAATGAGTTATTCAAACTTTTTTAATCTTTTTTAATATGTATGATTTTTTTTTTGAAATATAACCGATATAATTTTTGGACAGGGAAAAGTGACCACCTTTATGCTGCTAACCCATAAATTCTAAGCCGCAGATAGATATTCACTTCTCTGGTAAGTCTCTTCAATGCTTCTGCCGCTCATAAATTCTGATCACAAATATAGATCCTTAGTTCTTTATTATCAGAACTTTAATTAATTACAAGCTTCACACACTTGTGTCTTTTTTATTTTTTTCCTAAGTGAACAAGGAACTGTATGTTAAAGTCCTAAATATTTTAAAACCGAGCTTAGCTGGTGCAAGCTTGAAGTTTGTTACCATTATTTAATAATAGAGTACGAGGGATAACTAAAAAAAATCCAAAAGGAATGGCCAAGAGCCACAGAATTAATTCAGATGAGGCCATTGAAAGCAGAGCAAAGATCATTCATTGATTATGATTATAAATTTTAAATTAAGTTTGTGAAGCCAAATAATTATTAAGATATAATATTTGTTGACATTGAAGTGCAATTGTCAGCATGAATCTTCTTGTTCTTCTGATTAAAAAAAAAAAAAATTGATTTGCAGCAATCATAATCAGATGCCTCTTCATTGAATTTATATTCCTTTGCTTTGTTGGCATTTCTCATAAAATTGGTTGGAGGCACGTTTTTGTTCCAGTTGTTTCTTACAATGAAACAGAGCCATTTTTATTTATTTATATATATATAACATAAATATTTTCACAACGTAGAGAAGGAAACTAAGATAATTTATGACAGTAGTATAATTAGTGTGATTTGATGTGATCATGTTTGGATGAGGGTCGAATTTATGCTACTTAACATTAAAAAGAGCGGTTGAGGATGAAATAGCTTCTTTTGTGTGTGAATTAGAAAACAAAAAAGTCAAAGCTGATCGGTTGACCCAAGATATAAGAACCAAAACAAACGTATTGTGCCTACAGTTTCATTTCATAAATCATGTGATATGACCAATCAAAATTTGAATCCTCAAGAAGAAGAGGAGGTGACCATATTTAGTGTCTAACAGTATTTCAAATAAGATTGCATCCAATAGGAAAATACATGTATTTAGAAAAAAAAAAATCATGCTTTCTTCTCCTTTTTCTTCTTCTTCTTCTTTTTTTTTTTAATGAACACCTGATGTCCAAATGGGTTCATCTTTTGCTGTGTTTTTTTTTTTTTTAACTCAATATATAAACTCGCATCGTGATCCAAGGGACATTGAGTTCCTAATAAATAAACATGGTAAAGTTTGGGGTAATTTAGATGTAATCCATTTCTATTCCTCCAGTCCGAAGAATTAATTAGAGAATTAGTTATGATTCTAAATGCAACTTAACTCATTTTATTTTTTATATTTATCATTTTTTCCAAACTAATGTATTCAATTTATAAATTGACATATAAATATTTTAAAAGATCATGTCACTTGTTGGAATTAAATAATCTCTTGAATCTTCTTAATTTATTTAAATTAATTAAATAACTCTTATATTAAACTCCACCACCCGTATCTATTGCATATCATATCATCCATTCGTACTGTGCACATTACTCGTGTTCATTACTAAAAGCAAGCGGGCCCATTGAAGCCTAAGCTCATAAAAACTTAAAGGCCCTCAACGAAGCACCGTGGTGTGCCAAGTCTTTAGCATTTTAATTAAGAGAATATTTTAATTACTCCAAAACGTTTATAAATTGTCTTACATATAAGAATACCATACGCTCCAAAATTTTGATTTATACTTATTAATTAGGAGCAAAGGGATTATCTCTGGCCTAATTTGTAACACAGCCTGCCTGCAATTCCTGGGTTTGCGGCCTTGCGAATAAAAGTTGCTTAGTGCTTGGAGGGCTAGGAAAAATTTGTACAAGATTCATTCTGCATCAATCTGGAGCTGAACCGAGTGATACGTTTTAGTAATTTAAGGATAAAGAGACTGAAGAGTGTGCCATTCAAATGCATATTTCTGGCATTGGTTGGGGTCCTTCAACGCATAAAAGCAATGTAACATGATTTTGTCTGGACTACTATTCTCCCAGAAGCAAAAGAATGCCACTTTGAAACGCAAGGAGGTGATAGTGGCATACTGGTAAAGTGGCGAGTATGCTGCCCAACAGCTTCACAGCGTATTATTGTTCACGGGCTAATGACGTCTACTCCTCAATAGATTAATTCAATATAATATTAGCATTAAACTTGCAGGAGAAAGGCCATAAAATAATCTAGAAAGATTGATGATTTAGTAATGAGCTTCATGAAATCATATGCATGTCGTATTTAACTATTCTGAATATGTGAGTGAGTGAAGTGCCATTCAAATGCATATTTCAGGCATTGGTTGGGATCTTCCAACGCATAGAAGTAATGTAACATATTTTTGTTTGGACGACTATTCTTCCAGAAGCAAAAGAATGCCTCTATGAAACACAAGGAGGTGATAGTGGCATACTGGTAAAGTGACGAGTATGCTGCTCAAAAGCTTCACAGTGTACTATTGGTCAGGAGCTAATGACATATGCTCATCAATAGAGTAATTCAACATCATATCAGCATTAAACTTGCAGGAGAAAGGCCATAAAATAATCGAACTTCAAGGAATTAAAAAAATAAGGAAGTAAATTCATGATTTAGTAATTTCTGAATTCTCTCTGAGCTTCATGAAATCATATACATGTCGTATTTAACTAGTTTGAAGATGTGTGAGTGACTAAATTGACAGGCTTAATATTTGGACTTTTTTATACTATATTCTTTATTTGCTCCATCACACACACAGAAGCTAAACACTTACAGGTAAACAAATCCCATTCCCATTCAGTATTCAGCACACGGAAAGCGAGAGGCCTTAGCCTTTAAGCCTGCTCTTAGCTCCAGACTTTCAGGATTGAATTGAATCAAGTCAAACGAAAAGTCACATGGTTTTTTCTCCTGTAATTGCCATCAGCTAAGCTAGTGGAAATCTTGATACAACATGTTCCTCAAAAGCTGCTGTAAAAGGCGACTTTGCATTTACTTAATCTTCATTTACAGTTAGCCTATTTATTTCTCTGCTAAATTTCATTGGGATTTCCCTGCCTAAAAGTTTTTTGGTAGTTTTGTTTCTCAGAGCTTCTCAGTCTTATAATCTCGAAGTTTCAACACATTTGTTCTTAAAATTTTGGGTCTACCCAGTTATAAACTTCATTTGTTCCAGCCACTTTGGTGTTGATGCATTAAGTCACACATAGATTGAAAGGCCTGCCCTCTCAGTTTATATAAAAACTTCAGAAAATGATGAAAGTTAAAACCACATTCTATCCCCGCGTTGATCATCAGTAGAACCAGTAAACTCCCAGTTTCTTTCTTCCCAGTGGCTGAGAGAAGCTCATTGCCAAAATAAATAGCAAGCCTAATTTTATGCAAAGCCTGTCTATCAACTAAAGTCCATGTAGCTTTCAGTTTAATTTGTAGAGATACCTTAAATTCCTAAAGATTAACACTACCTCTAGTATTAGATATAAGAACTAGACAAAAAGTTCATTTGATAAAATCTCAATACATTTTGTCTTCCAAATTTATAATTTTTTGTCCATCCTATTCCTATTCATTGCACACAGTAAGAGTTCCCGTCAAGCCATAGTTACAACGCACATGACATGATTAGAAAAAGTATTCCAGAGAAAACAACTCACATTTGTTACAAATAACTAATTCAACTAATTTTTTTAATATTTACAAATTAGTTATCTAGATTTCATACTACGATGGAGGGTAGAAATGAAAATGGATTCAGATTATGACCGTCCTAAACTTACAGCTATATCAGTTTAACAAATTAAAACATCAAATAAGATGAAAATGCTATCTATCACAAACAAATCCATACCAAATGGATTCAGATTATAATCAGAACATATGCAGAGGTGGAATTTTCTAATACTTCTGGTAAAATTTGCTCCTCAAAAGAGTAAAAGTAACATATGCCTTCTGACCAAATTATAATTAAGCATGCTGAAGTTTGTAATCAACTTCAAAGGAAACAGAAGAAATTAAAACCTCCCTACTATGATTACCAACTTGAAGGCCAATACCCGTGGATGCCATAACCTGTCTTCCAGTTATCCAAGTAGACAACTTTCTTCACAGCCCAGAAAGAAACTAACAGGGCAAAAATCATAAACACCCTTTGCACATTAACATTCTTCACCTTCACAAGAACATGTGACATAAAAGCCATTAGCAAACCCACAATGGTGTACAAGAATCCCACAGCAAAACCCTCTGCTCCAAGCTGCATTCCAGACCCCTGATAAAAGAATACGAGCTTCGAAGGATCATTACGGTCCAACAAAAACATCGGCATCTTCCTTATGATGTTATGCATCGCACCAGAAACGCTGAAGAAGTAAACGAACACAGCACCCAATAACCAGAACTTCCGGTCATGGAGCATAGTCTGACCAGCCAGGATTCTTTTCATTATAAAAGGTAAAGTAATCAAAAAACCGAGTGCAAACAAAATCAATTGGCCCCTCGAGAATAACGGAGGCCGATGGATCGGACCTACAACGAGCTTCGTCTTCGACTCCAGAAATTCAGCCATGGACTCAGCGAGCCTGGAGAAATCTCCCTGGTCCATCTGATCTGACTCTTTGGGGCCTTGATGAGGCGCAATAAGGCGGATGTGCGGCAAGGCATTGACGCCGAAGAGAGCGAAACTAGATTGCGATTCTTTGAATTCAATGTCGCAGAAGAACAATTTCCCGTGAGATGGGGACGACGGGTCATCGTTGTTGGCGACGTAGGAGGAAGCGACAAGTGCGAATTCACTGCGAAGCTCCTTGAGGCGAAGCTCTGGTTTCTCGTGGAGCTGAGAGGCATCAAAGAAGACAACAATCCAATAGGGTCTTGGGGTTTTGACTGAGGTAAGGTATCGGGAGACGGATTGGTCGTTGAGGTGGATTAGACCAGATTGGGATCTGGATTGAAGCGTGAGAAGCTCGCTGACTCGGTCATCATCGGATTCCGAGGAGACAGTGAGGGAAATAAGGGACAAGAGAACGATAACTAGCAGGAGAAATGGCGATTTGGTAATGGTAGTCATGGCTGTCTGAGATTTCGGGGGTTTCACAGAGAGCCGGAGGGAAAGAGAGGAAAGGAAGGGTTAGAGGGGTGAAGACGTGAAGTGAAGACTACGGAGAAAGACTTTGACAAATTCACTCCTCAGCATGTACGCTAAATTCCAATCAATCTCTGCCACGTAAGCTTGTTATGTGTAGCCCTGCCGATTCTCTTTTTCCACGACGGAGAATAATGAATTTTCTGGAGTTCAGTTTTAAGAATTACTCTCTCTTTTTTTTTCGCCGGTGTTTTAAGAATTATTAAAATACGAGTAACTTTTTAGAAGGGCTTTTTTATCCAGACACGACAAACAGTAAAAGTATTTACTCAGATGCTATAAAATTAAAAATATTTACTCAGATACTACACTTGAAATCGTTCAGACAGTGAATGAGTTTAAATTTGTACAGAAGTTGTTCAGGCCAAAAACGACTTCAGTGGAACCCACATCCAAAATATAAAAGTTGTTCTTGGTCTGAACAACTTCAGTGGGACCCACATCACAAAATGGAAGTTGTTCTTGATCTGAACAACTTCAGTGGGACCCACTATTTGTCTTACACTCCATGCGTTTTCAGCTTTCGTATTTTGACCAGACTATTTCTGCCTTTTCCAGCCCCACGCAAAGTGTTCATTCCTTCCCCAAATATTCCCATCAATATAGAGTAGTCATTCGTTGTCTCTCATGCATGAATACTTTGTTTTTGCATGTGAGTGTATAGTATGAATTCTACTTATATAAGGCATTCGACATTCTTTTTATTTAATTATTCCAAAATTATAACTAAAATTCTAAAATTCTAAATAGAATATTATTATTTTTTATTTAATATTATTTATATTTAATTAATTCTATTTAATTAATATTAATTAGATATATTAATATAGATTTATTAAAAATAAATAGTATATTGAGGAAATTTCTAGATTTCACATCTAATTGAATTGTAGAAATATGATAATCTCCTCCAAGAATTTTTAGAAAAAAATCTGTCAGATTCACATTTTATTTGATCCTTAATTTCTAGTCGAAAGCTAATAATATATTCCCACTCATCATAAGCCTTCTCCTCACTTAACGGAGTGAAAGGGCTTTTGTTTTGCATGTTTTGGGTTTTGCAATCAAACCCAGCTTTGTGTTACTTAGGGAATTTTTAGCAAAATGCTGCAAATAGGGAAAAAAATTCTTCAAATACTACATAGTGGGAATTATTTTTCCAAATACTACACTCAAAGTTGTTCTTAGTTTAAACAACTTTAAAAGTTCATCTTAATAAGAGCAATTTCTTCAATAAACATTGGTTCCCATGCAGCTGAACTTCATCTTGACTTGAACAAAGTTTAAAATTCATCTCAGTAAGAGCAATTCCTCCCATAAACCTTGTCTTCCGTCTAGCTGAAATTCATCTTGGTGTGAACAACTTTTAAATTTCACCAGCATCTAAACAACTTCTTCACAATCTCTCACCACATAAATATTCCTACAGGGATGTTAATAATGGTCATATCATTAGAATAATGAGTTAATAATTATATAATGATAATAGTAATAATTAATATTATATTAATTAAAAAGTGATTAAAGAAAATAAGTAATGATTAAATGTTATAAAATTAATAACAAATAACAATTAAATTGACATGAACAAAAATAAGAATTAATTTACCTCACAAATAATGACTCCCCGTGCCACATCTTGGTCTCCTCCGCGCACGCTGTGGCCGTTGTTGTATATTTACTTCTTGAGTTTAATCTAATGTCTCATTTGTCTGCGTAGTTGACATATTTAAATCAAACCAAGGTGATTCGGCTAAAGAAATTGATTGTCGAGGGGTGACAAATGCTTCATTTGATGGACCACCTTGCTCAAAAGAAGAAGTGTTATATTGATCGATAAATAATGCAGGATTATCAAATAAGGACATGAATGACTGAAATTGAGGAGGATTGGGTGAGTCAGAATGGGATAATGTTGATGATGATGGCATGTGATGAGGGTAAAAATGAGTTGGATTGGAAGAGGTGATAGGGCTTGATGAGACTGATATGTTATCAAAATGACTAAAATTTTGACGCTCTTGTTCACTTAAATTTTCATTTACAATTGGTGGCTGAGTAGACAAGTAACCGCCTCGCCGTTTGCTTGGTCTATCTCGAGGAATTTGTGGACGGGGTAGCTCAACTGGTGGTGGAGCTGGTTGAGAATTCATATTAAACCGTTGTTCTCTAACTGCAAGTAAGATGTTACGCTGGTCTCGAGCAACTCTTTGTCGATAATCAATGCAATCAGAGCATGTTGAACGAGAATTAATTATTAGCCTATATAACTATTCTGCTATGTCAGCCTGAAATAAATAAAACATTAGGTTTGAAAAAATTTTCGTATAAAAGAAAATGATGATATTGATCAGAAAAAACTAAAAAAAACCTTACCACATAGCCAGTATCACCACTAACACGTTGGATCCATCGTCTTGTATGTCTCCAATACCATTGCATGTACTCAGATGTTTGATCAAGTTCACCAAGTGCCAGAGGAGCATCAACAACAGCATGTGGCCATCTATTCCATGCTTCAATGAAGTTTGAGTATTCTTCAGTCCAATTTGTGCTTATTCTGCCACGTAGTTGTATTGTATGGTAATTTCCTAAATGAACAGGCATGACAGGAATAGGTTGTTGACGACCGAATTGCCTTAGTACACGATCAGGGTGATGCCATTCTATAATATGAAAACATATTAGAGGAACTGAAGCAAGCCAAATTTCAGGTGTTGCCAAGCAATATTCTGGAATCAATTGGCGCACTTCAGAAGATTCATATGGCTACCAAATTATGTCATCATCGGTCATTCTATCAAGAAGACTCCTATATTGGCGTAAGGATATGACACTTGGACGAGGATTTTGTCCTACATTTTTCCATCTAGCATTATCAACAACCCAAAAAAGTAGTGTTAAAATTTGTAAAATTTCAATAATAAGTACATATGAAATATTTGTTGTGTGATTTTGGCATACCTGAAACCCAAAGGAGGTAAGAGAGGGTAGATATTAGACTGTGGATCTGGAGATACAGGTTGTTGTGGTGCTAGCGTAGGAAAACGATCCCATGCCCATAAATGTAATAATGATAAGCATCCTCCAATCCCATCTTCAGTTGGATTAGTAGCATTACATAATTCTCTATACAGGTGAGCTAAAACTGCTGAACCCCAACTAAAATTTCCAACTTCTTCCATATTATAAAGTAGTGGAAGGTACATCAAATACACCATAGTACACGATCTATCTAGCATGAGATATCCTCCAATCAACCTGAGAATATATGCACGAGTGAATTGTTGAACTTGTACATCGTCTGCATCATCAAGTAAGTGATTAAAGTGCTCTTCCAACCAATTTATAAGTAGTCGTTGTCCAAGTATTCTATCTGCAGGTGGTCTAACTCCTAGAAGCCATTCACAAACATCTTGCCAATTAAAGTCAGTTTTCCCAATGACAGGCATTCCTACACAAGGAAGGCCTAATTGTATAGCAACATCCTCTAATGTTATCGTGCACTCTCCACGTGTAGTATGAAATGTGTGAGTCTCAAGACGCCACCTCTCAACAAGGGCTGAGACCAAACTTTGGTCGTAATCAAATTGCCCTACCCTCGCAACACCATAAAATCCAGCTAATCTAAGATATTCAAGTATCTGATTGGGTGGCTCAATCATTCGATTAGCATGCATGACTCATCTAGTGTGTAGGATTCGAGAAACCTATAGACAAAATTTTTAAAAAAAAGTTAGTATTAAAGCATAGAATTAATAAGTAGTAGTTAAGAGAGATTACTTACATTTTCATTCCAAACTTGTTGCAAAATATGTTGAGTTTGTAAGTACAGAAGTGAGTTATCCTCTGGACCAGGGTTAATGACTTCTTCTGGATATTGTGCCATTTTCAAATATCTAAACACAACATAACAAATAAATATTCACATAATATAAAAAAATTACAAAAACCATTTACATTTCATCTTCATATGTATAATTTTCTTTTTACATAAGCAAAATACATAATTTATTGTCTGGATGCCACTCTTTGAGGACAAGTAGAGCGATTATGACCAATTTGTCTACATAATCCACATTTGTTGGGTGGGTTGGATGTAGTCCAATCCATCTCATTACGTATGCGACTTGAACGAGAACGACCTTTATCTCTAATCATTGATGGATCAGGTATTAGAGTAGGGCAATCAATTTGCGGCCAGTAAGTCTCATCTCCTATTGGATGAAAGTTGTTACTGTAAGCCATTTGCATGGTTTCTAACCTAAAAACAGGATCAACATATTGCATTCCAAGCCTTCTTATATGACACTATATAACCAAACATGGATTGCATCCTCTCTATAATTTGAGATACTTTCACATCTGGCTTATCAGTTACCATTGCTATGATACAAGATGATATAACATCAGCATCTAACTTTGGATGGTCTTGAGTTAGTGATGTGCTTAAGCATGTGTGGGGCCCCCCATATTTTGTAATTTGCCAAAAGTTTCTGTTTTCCTTCTTACAAGCTCTTACTCTCCAATTGCAGCTTTCACCATAGTTAATGCATCGATATTCTTCATACTTGTTACATGAATAATAGACCTTGAATGTGTGATGAACTCGAACAGAGTATAACTTGACCGCACGTCTCAAAACACGAACATTGCTAAACATCTTTCCGATATGTAACTCTTCATTTTGACTGAAAGGTGGAATTTCTTCTAATTCACTGAACTCAGGAGCCATAGCTGACTCAACATTAATATGCGAGAAGAAAGCAGATGCTAGCTCATTATCCTGGTTGATCTCGTCATGCTCATCATTGTCATCATGATCATTCCCATCACCAATATTTAAATAAGAATCATATTGATCTTCGTCCTCAAATTCATCCATAGTATCTTCCATTTGAGGAACAGAGCAAGATGGCCCATTGTTGATACCATCTTGGGGAAGTTCAAATGGGTGAAGATTTTCCATCTGATCGCTAAACATGGATTCTTCTTCTATAATGTTTAGCTGATTGCTACTTGATGGAAGAGTATTTCCAGCATTTTTGTCCATTAGTTGTGATTCAATATGACCAACATCTTCCAAGTCACCTATATTGGCATACAACTCTGCACATGTTAACTGAGTTGAGAATCGACGATTCACTTGCCACATTTGTTGTACATCCGAATCATCTTCTAGATTGCATGCTTGGTATTGTGGTGGATTTATGCACGTAGGATATTTGTACACTAGATTTGTCACAATTTCATTGGGAGGAAGTCGTAGTTTTCGTCCAATAACTTCCTTCAATCTATCCAATGTAATATTTGGATCAACTTTCACTACTTTCGCTCTATCACACTCAAATGTTGCACCGACCGGGCCATTAAAAATTCGTCCATTTGCAAATATACACACAAACTCTTTTCTATGATCCATTCTGCTTCCTAAATAATACAGTATAATTATTAATTAAACAAAAATGAATTGTAAAACTAAATTAACTCCATAATATCATTATTTTTTAATTCAATTATGTATATATTTTTAAAATAAAGTAGTAGAATAATCATTTATTTATAGTTACAAAAATTAGGCTATTTATTAAGAAACTTATTTACATTTTTAAGTAAGATAGTAACTTGTAATATCTTTTAATCAACAACGACTGTGGAACATCAATCATAAAAAATATTTAGAATAACTTAAAAATTAATTTCAATTAAAAATAAACGTTACATATTAAAATTTTATTATAAATTCTAATATATCAATATAAAATTAATAATATAAAGTACATATTTCTAATATATTAAATAAATAATTTTCTATTCATTCCATTTTATTCAAAAAAAATAGGGATAATTAATATATAAGTCCTTATAGTTTCAACTGGTTTTTAATCAGGTCCCTATAATTTTTTTTCTTTTTATCAGATCCTTATACTTTCATATATTTTTAATCAAGTCCTTATAATTTTTTTTCTTTTTATCAGGTCCTTATTGTTTTACTTTGTTTTTAATTAGGTCCTTCTAGTTTCTATTCTTTATTTTACAAATAATAACATTTTACAAATAATAAATTATTGTAACAATCTTATGTTAATATTATTTTAAATTTTTAGTTAAACAAATATATTATTTGTTTTCAATTCAAATTTTTATAATTATAAAATTCAAATTATAATAATAAATTTATCTAAAATTAAAATATGATTATAAATAATTTATATTTAAGCATAATTATTATTCTGATTATTTATTAATTACTAAATGATTATATTAATTATTTTGTCCAATTATATAATTATTAATTTAAAAATGAAATTATTTTTAAAGAATAAAGTTAATAAATAATTTTTCAAAAACTACAAAGCACCTAATTAAAAAATAAGTGAAACTATAAGGACCTGATAAAAAGAAAAAAAATAGAAGGACTTAATTAAAAACACACGAAAGTAAAAGGATCTAATAAAAAGAAAAATTTTTATAAGGACCTAATTAAAAATCAAATGAAACTATAAGGACCTGGAGATTAATTATCCCAAAAAAATATTATAATTAAATATTATTAAAAAATTAGCTAAAATCATTACTTCTGTTTTATTATCAAAAAGGATCTTAAAAACTATAAATATTTAGAAGGATTAAATATATTTAAAAACATTAAATTCTCCCACAACTACATTCCTAAATTTTTTCTAACTTATGTTCCATTATTGGATATTTTTAATGACTAAATTAGATAAATATTTGATTAAATAAATTAATTTGAAAATATTTCTTATTCAAAAAAATTGCCTCTGCTTTGTTTTTCTCCCGGTCCCAACTTCATACTTCAAATGTTCAATTTTAATTTATCTATATTATTAAAGAATAATTATATTCCTTTCAACCTCTAATTTCTATATTGCGAATAAATGCTTTTGATGAGATATATACTTTAGTAAACACATAAAGGTAAATTTACATTAAATAATAATAAGTTTATAATAAATGTACTTGTGTAATTTTATATTAGGTACCGTTTAAGTGACCCCAAAAAAACATCCTTATGATTGAAAACAAAAATAAATGTTAATAACTATTTCACACTAGTTATTTAAAAATTATAATTACTTAATATGACGAAACAATTAGCTATTACTATTGAGTGATTTTTTTAAATTTATAGTTTATTATTTGGTCTGCCTAAATAATTATAATTTTTAAGATCCTCTTTAATAAATATTATTTTCTCTAGGTCCTCCTCTCTAATTTTTCCAAAAAATAAAAAAAAAACTCCTTTCTTTCATTATTATTAACCCCACTATCAGTACTCTTTTTATTAGGAAAATTTTGACACCATTTAGTGCTAGCTTTCATTGGCTAGATACAAGACTAGACTAAGCTCACAACCAGGGTTGTCAAACTCACGAGTTTAAGTAAACTCGTGACAGGTATGTAAACTCGAATTTATGAAATTCATACATGAAGTCACTATGCATAATCAAATAATAAAATAATTATAAATTTAATAAAAATTATAACTTGGACCACTGATTTGGATTTTCAATATTTTAAAGGTTTTTATAGTTAAATAATTTAACTGTCTTCTACGCATGCTTTGATATAAATTTTACGTAATTTTAACAAAAATAATTTTACCATTATATATTAAAATTTTATGAGTGGGGAATATTATTCCATCAATTTTTCTTTAAATATTCAAGTATTTTTCATGACGTATTGACTGGCATAGGAGAAGTTTGATTACCATGCTCACAACCAAATATTATCTAACTAGATACATATTTAATCTGACTACATATTTACTCAAACACTATCTACTAAAAAAAAAGATATATATTTAATCAGATTATAAAAAAGTAAACTGTAATTTATTTTATATGACAATTAATTATATGTCTACATTTTTTTAATTAAAACAAACTCAACATGTAAAAATGACTAAATATAAAATTCTTATCCATCATTTAGCAAAATACATATCAAAATTTTAAAAAAAAAAATTAATCAAGAGAATGTACCTTAATCAGAAGAAAAATTAAGCCTCAAGTTGAGATAAAACGTATGCAATATTTGCAAGGCCACACACACCACCAACTTCACGTGAAATTGTGGAAAGAGAAAGAAGAACTGAAGGACCTGCAGATAAAATTCAATTCTTCACGCAAAATGCCTTATATATAGAGAAAGAAGAAATGAATTGTATGAAGAATTGAAGTTGAGATAAAACGTATTTACCTACTTCACAGGAATGCCTTACACATAGAGAAAGAAGAATGTGAGAAGTGAAGAGAAGCCTTCTGATGAGTGGGAATGGCGAATAGCTTATATAAATAGAATTCATACTATACACTCACATGCAAAAACAAAGCATTCACGCGTGAGAGACATTGAATGACTACCTATATTGATGGGAATATTTGGGGAAGGAAGAAACACTTTGCGTGTGGCTCTGGAAAAGGCAGAAATAGTATGGTCAAAATATGAAAGCTACACGCAAAAGGCAGAAATAGTTTGGGTGAGCCTTCGCTTTTTGGATCGTCTTCTGCCCAATGTCAATGTGGTACCCTCCCGTTTGTTTTTGGTTCCCATTGGGTTTACCTTGTTACAGGTCGACCCCATGGCAGCAAGAAAAAAAAAGGCGATCTTGTGCTATACTCCAGTGATCTCTTTCCTACCAAGGCACGCAAACCCCCATCGTGTCTGGTCAAAATATGAAAGCTGAAAACGCATGGAATGTAAGACAAATAGTGGGTCCCACTGAAGTTGTTCAGACCAAGAACAACTTCCATTTTGTGATGTGGGTCCCACTGAAGTTGTTCAGACCAAGAACAACTTTCATATTTTGGATGTGGGTCCCACTGAAGTCGTTTTTTGCCTGAACAACTTCTGTACAAATTTAAACTCGTTCACTATCTGAACGATTTCAAGTGTAGTATCTGAGTAAATATTTTTGATCTTATAGCATCTGAGTAAATACTTTTACTGTTTGTCGTGTTTGGATAAAAAAGCCTTTTTAGAAGTGATTTCATGAGATAAGTTTGCCTGAACTTATGTGAAAGGCCAAACACTCCGTTGGGTAAAAATTTGGGCGGAGGGTGGCTCGAATGTAAATATCAGTTCCATCTCAAAATGGCCTAATTTTATAATGAAATTACCTAATTGCTTTTAATTTGAAATTTGAAAAATAAAATAACATACAATATAATTCAAAAATAAAATTACTTAAATCACGACAATAACTAAGACAGATATTTATGTAATTTCTTCATAAAATTTAATTTCAGAATGATCACGGACTTTGTAATAATGAGGACATGTTTAGATCGAAACTAAATTGTAGTAGTAAAAGTGATTTTATGATATACGTAGTAAATATTTTAAAAAAAATTTGTCTTAACTTGCATAGAAGTATTTTTTTTATAAGTGCTTTCACTTATTCAGTCTATTTGGATTCACAGTCCAAATTACTTATAAGCAGCTTATTGCACAAAAGAGCATTATGAAACATGTTTGTCTTGTTTGGGTAATTTTTATAAAATCCCGATAAATCATGATTTTACCTTTCTACCGTACTTTTAAGATAAGCAACAAGAAGTAGCTTATGTGTTTGAAAAATCCTAATCAATCTTCAGCAACTAAATTTTCTCCAATCTACCCCTCCCACACTCTTCCCAAAATCTCTTCTCAAATATTAACTTCATGCCTTTTTTAGTAATTATACATTCATAAGTAATTTTAATAAATGAAAACTAAACATAATCACAATTCTTAAAATAACTTATAAGAAAAAAAATCCAAACACAAATCACTGCTAATCCAAACAGACACTAATTACATTTAAACAATTTATGCCGTGTTTGAATAAGCTTTAAATCCATTTGACTTATGGGCTAAAAGCTCATTACTCTTTCATCTTACTCGTTGCTTTTCAAATTGCGCTAAATGGGGGTTGGTAGGACCGTCTCTCTTCCTTCGATGCTGAAGTCTGATCACTGTTCACCCTCATTTGCTTTTTCCCCCCAACATGCATTGCTCGGATTTGGATTCTCTTCACTACCTTCCCATCCTCTTCTCCTCCACTACCCTTCTTTTCTCTTCACAACCATTGGATCAAAATTTCAATGGTCCAGATTTAACATCTTATAAAAATAATGTTATTAAAAAAATAAATAAATAAATTTAAACTGTTAAAATCTGGTCTGAATAGTTTATAATTGTAATAAAAAAATTAAAAAAAATTTGCTTTATAATAACAGTATGTAGTTATGAACTGTTCAGATTAGATTTTAACAGTTTAAATTTATTTATCTATTTTTTATCATAATATTTATTTTTATAAAATGTTATAACATATTAAATCTGAACCATTGGAGTTTTGATCCAATGGTTGTGAAGAGAAAGGGAGGGTGGTGGAAGGGAAGAGAATGT